GAAAGTTAAAATGTGTTGTGTTTCATAAAAGATTGATAAGTGGACATCATATCACTTCATATTCGTGGATATTTGAAACCAGCATAAGATTCCGATGGAAATGTCTGTCTGATTTTGGATACGGCACAAGCAGGGATAATTTTTCGTCTCTTTTTTCCAAGGATATGCCAGATCCAACGAGTAAATCGTCTGTATGCTAAGTATCTATATAATCTGTAATGTAAAAATGACCCTTAAGAAAATACTATTTTATAATTTATTTGATATGCTTGAAGGAAAAATCAAAAACTTTTATAAGAAATGTTATCTGTACACATTATCTTACTCGTGTATTGGTTCGTTGTCATCAAGGGCCCATCAGTGTCTATAAACTCGTACATGGAGACTTCCAGGACATCAATATTGAGGCAATTTCCCTGAAACCCATCATGTTCCGTGATGCACTTTAAATTCTTTGCTTCTATTTTTTCCAAAATTGGTGCAATTTCATGGCAGCATAAACATTAATCATTAGTTTCCATTACTTGGCACCTTTCACAGACACACCTTGTAATGTAAATTAAATTAAATTTACTGTTCATAAATGAGATATTTAATTATATGTATTAATAATGCTAATAATGAATGTGTGAACAAAAGTTTTCATTTTTGAAATATAATCTAAAACAAGTAAAATATTTGTTTTATTCTCATACCATGCTAAACTCTCTCTGCGGGTACCAATTACTCCTAGTGCATTATCCTCCTCCAAATCACCTCCCTCCGAATCTTCAGATTCACTTCTATTGCTGCCTTGTGTTTGATTTCATGAGAATCTGACTTAGGAATGCTAAGGACATTGAATGCAGGCAACATATTTTTTTGTGTCATGTGTCCTTTAATGATCTTCTGCGCTTGATTACTGTTTGTCATTCTTAAATTGTATTGAGAATTATGCTTTTAAAGAAAAAAAGAATTAGAATTCATATTTAACTGTAAACCAACTTTTATTCCTTTGGCGAGGTTTGCCAGAGCCTCATTATCGCGAATATTTATCGCAGAGAAATAGTCCTTAAAGTCTTTGTGTCTTTTAACAACAGATCTAAATAGGTTTCAACGCTAAAATTAATCGTCCAGTTTGCCTGCAGTAATTCGCAAACTGAAGTCATCGCAATTATAAGTTGGTTGACAGCTTACAACGATTATGTATTAACTTTCGTACGAAATATTGTGAATGTTAGAAGACTTTTATATAAATGAAGTGCGATTTAAGAAATTAATTTAAATTACCAGAAAGAACAGTGGCCAGGACATCTGTAATTTTGACTACACTTTACCTAGAGATACACTGACCGAAACTTCTAAACTAAAGGTAGATAACACAGATTAAATAGTTGCAGCAACAAGTATTCTTCTTATTGAACAGACTGCGACAGACCTGTGTAAATTTTTGTTATTGACGTTATGCTGTTCTCCAGTTACTCCCAGAAATAACATTCGAGGTATCATTACATAAGATGGTAATATATATTTATATCCAGATGTCCTAGGTGTATCAGCTTAAAGCAAGGTATGGTTATCTTTGTTTAAAATATTGACAACCGTCTGTCTCTATTTAGAAACAAATGAACAGATTTAATACATCAGACCTTGAGCAGTTTGTGTAATTTCACTTTTAATTCTCATTTCAAAGAATGAGAAAAATGTAAGATAGTACAAAGATTTTGAGAAATTATATTCACAACGCTGAATGAAATTTACTCTTAAAGTTTTTAAAGAATCTACAAATTTTGAAACTTCTGATACCACTGAATGAAAGATAAATGCTCCGAAGAACTTATTTCTAATCAAACATTTTAACAGTCATAACAGACTTTTATAAACCATCATTTATTCAATTGTTTATAATTTTTTTATTATTAGGAAAATGGTTAAATGTTTATACGAACCTAACTCATTTTTAAAGTAGAAAGCAAATCTTGTATTAAGATTCTCAAATTATGGGATTTTTTTCAACAGAATGATAAAATGTATTAAAAAGGCTACTTTCAGAGAAGTGCCTAAACGTTTTAAGCAGATATAAAGAAATGAGAAAAAATAATTGAAATACTTTTTTAACTTAAAGTGTAATATCCTTCCGATAAGAAAAATGACTACAAATATTGATTTCAATTTTCTATTGCTAACATTTCTATAAACCTTAAAAACTGACATAGTTCTATTTCTTAATATATAACTCTTTCAATTGTTACAGAAAGTGTAGATGCAGAATTTTTATAATCAATTTCCTTTTTTCACTAAAATATTTGAAGAAGGAAAATGAAAAAATAACTTTTCATAGAAAGACTGATTTCATTTTACAAGCAAAAAAAAAATATGATGTTCTGATTTAAAAAGCTTCTTTCTTTGCGACTTTAGAGCGGACAATCGAAATAATGCGCCAAGCTGTCTATTCTACTAAAAACCGTATAGTACATGCTTGTAACATTTATTAAAATTTAATCTCACTTTCCCCCTAACGTATAATTCTTAAATCAGAGATATTTCCAAAAAAATGAACATGAACACAGCTTAGAACTAGGCACATCATATTTCAAAAATCCCCAAAAGTATATCAAAGTTACTGTACACAGGGTTATTTTTGCCCCGTGTTTTTTCACTCTTTTGAACTTGTAAACAATTTTCCCCCGTTTTAAATTCGCCCAGTCATAGTTCTGTTTAAGACATTATGAGGTTTAGTTTGAATTCACCCAGTTTTAAATTCGCCCAATCAAGGAGAGTGCGAAATAGGCGAAAATTAAACGGAGTCAAAAATTTCCCTGTATACAGTATAAAAATTGATGGGAGAAAATATTCTAAAAGTTTAAAGTTACCTGGAGCTCAATGTTGATAAGAAAAACTGAGATATGGAGGTAAAAATAACAAATTTAAAAATTCGAACGTTAAGTGATGTGACCAAAAAGTTACTTTATCAGAGGTGTTTCATATTATCAGGAAATTTTAATTTCAGTAGTGGAACGATTTCGGAAATGAGGAAAACTGTTGACAAACAAGTTAATGAAAGAAGGATATCAACAGAAAATATTTCGCAAACTCTTCAGTCAATACAGTGACTTACACATCAAACACAATACACCATTTAGTCAAATGTTGTATGATTTTTTTTTCCATCAAATTGTTATGAAATAATTTCAACACTGAACTGGTCGACGGATTTTTCTGACTGTCCCAATTATGCAAAACAACACCCAGGCCAGTGTAAGCGGAGTAGACACCCAGGCCAGAGTTAGCGGAGTAGACACCCAGGCCAGTGTAAGCGAAGTAGACACCCAGGCAAGAGTAAGCTGAGTAGAAACTCAGTGCAGTGTAAGCTGAGTAGACACCCAGGTCAGTGTTAGCGGAGTAGACACCTAGGCCAATGTAGGCGGAGTAGACACCCAGGCCAGTGTAAAGGGGAGTAGACACCCAGGCCAATGTAAGCAGAGTAGACCACCTGGCCAGTATAAGCGGAGTAGACACCCATTCCAGTGTAAGCGGAGTAGACCACCAGGCCAGTATAAGCGGAGTAGACACCTAGGCAAGTGTAAACGGAGTAGACACTCAGGCCAGTGTAAGCAGAGAAGACACCCATTCCAATGTAAGCAGATTAGACCAACAGGCCAGTATAAGCGGAGTAGACACCCAGGCCAGTGTTATCGGAGTAGACACACAGGCCAGTGTAAGCGGAGTAAACACCCAGGCTAGTGTAAACGGAGTAGACACCTAGGCCAGTGTAAGCGGAGTAGACAATCAGGCCAGCGTAAGCGGAGTATACACTTAGGCCAGTGTAAGCGGAGTAGACACCCAGTCCAGTGTAAGCGGGGTAGACACCCATTCCATTGTAAGCGGAGTAGACACCCAGGCCATTGTAGGCGGAGTAGACAACCAGGCCAGTGTAAGCGGAGTATACACCCAGGCCAGTGTAAGCGGAGTAGACACCCAGGCTAGTGTAAGCGGAGTAGACACCTAGGCCAGTGTAAGCGGAGTAGACAATCAGGCCAATGTAAGCGGAGTATACACTTAGGCCAGTGTAAGCGGAGTAGACACCCAGGCCAGTGTAAGCGGGGTAGACACCCATTCCAGTGTAAGCGGAGTAGACACGTAGGCCAGTGAAAGCGGAGTAGACACCTAGGCCAGTGTAAGCAGAGTAGACACTTAGGCCAGTGTAAGCGGAGTAGAGAGGATACCAATAGCTCAATTAGGAAAACATTCGAAACAAATATTTCGTTGTTATTGGAACATCTATGGCTTTACGATTAGTTTTATGGTCCTTCGGATTATGAAACCGTATAAACCCGTGTCACAGTAGGTGTTGACACGAAAACACGAAAATTATCCCTCAATGCTTATTAGCTTTTTGATATCATAAGCAGCTGTTTTTTCAATGAAAATGGAACTCGTAATTATACTTACCTGGTCATTAATCTGTAAAAATTATTTTGTTAAAACACATTCTAATTGCACACACATGTACTCTGAAGCTGACATAAAAAGATGCTTGAGTTTCTGATTGACAATATCTATGTGGTTTTCAGAGACCAGGTCTTCTAACAATCTATTGGAATTCCCAATGGTACCAATTGCGCCCCGTTATTTGCAGACCTATTTTTGTATTCATACGTAGCAGAATTTTTGCAAAGTCTTAAACGTGAAAAGAAGAGAAGACTTGCTATGGCCTTTAACTCGACATTTAGATAAATCGAGGACGTCTCGTTTAAAGTCATCATTTTGTTAGTTCTATGGTTGATACAATGACCTTGTCAGCAAATACAATTTATCATTAATTTCCGTTATTTCCGATCATACCAAAGAGCACACGGCAGGTGTGGCCAGTCAGCAGGGGATGCTCACTCCTCAATGGCACCTGATCCCACTTTTGATGTTTTTGAGGTCCTTGTTTTCTCTCCTCCTATTTTGTATTGTTTTATGGACCTTGATATTGAATATTGTTTGTTATCTCCATATCCTTCCGTGAATGCCGAGTATGGGACAAAATTTGCAGATCTCCACCGGTAAGTGGTGATGTCTCCATATGAGTGAAAAATTCTAGAGAGGGAAGTTAATCAACAAACAAACGATTAGTTTCATTTCATTTCAGTTGTTTTATTTGATCCTTTTTCTCCTCTGGATTGATAACTATCATGCTGCAGCTGCTGCCCGCCTCAAGAACTTGTGAAGTAGACACATCGTGCAATAGGTGATCTCTCCTTCGTTCCTTTTAAATCTTTTTGGCTTTAGGTCTAGAACAAGAATTGTATATGACAATGTTGCTGCTATTTGTTTATATATTTATATGTCACTTAAAAGATAGCAATAGTAAGCACAAAAAGAGATAAGTCTTTATTTATTTATTTGTTTGTTTATTTTTTTCTTTTAAATTCTGAAGCATGACAGCCATGTTAATTACCAAACAAATGGCCAACAAAGAAGCTTAAAGAAATGTTTCATGCTTGTAAAGTTTAAAGGACCTCGATTTGGCTATAAAATCTAGATCTTTGATAAGATTTCATCTACACTTATGAACAATACCGGGTATGAATGGTTTAAGTATTCATTAATAACTTTTTGTTTAGACAGTTAGACAGAACAAAATATACGAAAACGGAAAATATGACAATCTGAAACCCTTTTTTAACTTATAATGCCTTTCCTGAAAATAAATATTTTGTTTTTTAAAACTTTTTTTACTGTGTAATATATGCTTTCAAAATGAAATTTAATAAACTATCAAGTTAAATCTATTCTAGTAAAGTCCATGTCTATGGTTGAGGACTGCATATAATTGATTATTGTATTTGATGCTAATTGGGAATTTCGTTTTATTTTTTGAAGCTTTGATTGATTCCATAGTTTATGGAAAGGTGTCTAATAAAAGTCGAACCAGTACAAACTGTGTTGTTTATTTCTCTACAAAGCACGGTCACAGAATGAATGTCATTTTTAATTGAATATATGTATTTGATCACATTTTGAAGGGGTGTTTGGGCGATGTGTTAATAAAATATGCATTTGGTGCATGAACAGGGTATATAAATCCATTTACGAACATCAGTATGCTATTCAACAATAATCGATTCGGTATCATGAACGCAGCTGATATGTAATGTGTATGCCTCTGGTGCTAGCAGTCTACCTGTAGTCGTGATCTCTGTTAATCTCTATACGGGAAGTGACTTATTACATAGTAAAGACTAATGCAGATCATCAAATGTTTTTCTGTATAATATCTGTTCATCTTTTCAACTGATTTTTCTTGGATTAACTTCAAATGTCATGAGGAGGAATTTTAAGAAAATAACAAAGCATTGAAAATTACATCCGGTATTACATAGGTATTTCTATATATTTTTGAATTAAACTGATTAGTCTGTGCATTGATTCAATATGTTTTATCATTGCGTTTTTTTTAAATACAGCCTTAAAGGTGTTCTTTTTCCACATTTAAAATTTAAAATCATTGCTTTAAATGAAAGCTTACCAGTGATAAATTCAGAAAACGGTTTATCGTTTTCTTGTTTTCTGCACATTTCGTTACAACTGCAATCGCCATCGCTTGTGAATACCAACAAGGAAACACCTAAAAGCTTTAATAAATTAAAAAAAAATTAAATATAACTACGCCATGAATTTAGTACAATTTCTGCTATAATAACAATAATTATAATAATAATAACTTGAGCAAAGCTCTAGTAGGTCTTCCGTTCTATTTGACAGGAAGTAACTTTCATTTCTTGCAAAAACGAGTAATAATGCCCCAAAAAGGTATAAATCCTCTAAATCATTGTTATTTAATGCAAAATAAGCCATTTTTTGCTACTTCCGGTTTGACCGGAAGTGATGACGATGGACGGATAATTAATTTTTATGCTCCCAGTGACAGATGTTACCCAAAACCTTGTCACGATCGGCAAAATAATGCGTTTTCTGACTACTTCCGGTTTGCCTATGAATGACGTCGCTGGACGTATTTTGACGTCTCCAATAGATTAATCTTGACATTTTGAACAATTTTGCTTCTTTGATGTATTACAAATTCTCAATACTTTTTGAGATATAAAGGAAAAAAAACTTTTGGCCCCTATACGCCCCTAATTTTAGGGGTCAGTCCTTTTTTTCGAGATATCATTTGATTGATTGATTGTATACTGTTTAACGTCTCTCTCCAGAATATTTCACTGATATGGAGACGTCATCATTGCCAGTGAAGGGCTGAAAATTTAGGCCTACACTACCGACCAGACCCAACCTGACACAAAGCAGTCCCAAAGCAGTCCCACAGCAGTCCTACAGAGGTCCCAGCAGTCCCAGAGAGCAGTCCCAGCAGTTCCAGTGGCCGAGGTTTATTAATTTAATGGGCAGAGCTAACTCAGAAATGAGATTTCCAATAAACAATGGAACTATAAAAGGCAGTAGAAATTGATTTTAGGTAGTATGCCAGAAATCGTTACATGTACGCGAAGTTCATTTATGAACAGAACATGTATTCGCATAAAAATTGAAATACGAGTCATTATTGATAATATTTATTGAAGGAAGAAGGCTTTCACACTTCCATGTACATTTATGAATTACACTGAACATGAATATTTAATCACAATTCTTGGGTATATTAAAAATTCTTCTGTAATTGATACTGGTTCTCATATTTATTTTTTATACAGAAAATTAAACGTGAATTAAATTTTTTCCACCAGAAGAAGCTTTAGCTTCAAATAGATCTTATTATATGGCCAATTTAGACTATCGGGATACTATAAAGTTGAGAGTGTTCTTAAAGCCATATATGGCGTATTTACAATGAAAATTATTAGACTAAAACTATAAGAACTTATTAACTGTATCATTACTTTATATAATGATAGAAATCTTCCGTAAATTACAAAATCTAAGTCAATTGCGTTTTAAAGATATCACAATCTAATTTGGATTCCTGGAATTTTCTCCGACTCGGAAGAAAATACAAGTGATTTAAATAACACAATACAGAGAAGATAAAATCGTATTATTAGATGAAACGAGGTGTTCTCCGTGTTCAGAATTGTATGAAAAGTTTTAATTTTAATCTATTAACTATATTTCTTTACTTAATTTTGTATATTTCAAAAATATATTTTTTTGATCAGTTACGCCATCTATGGCTTTAAGTATTGGGGCTTGTAAAAAAATTCTTTGTTAATTTTGCCAAGTATTATTTTTCAGTCATGGTTATTTTTACTGACATGTAAATTTAATTATCGTTAATGCCTCGTTCTATAAATCTCAGTTTTAAGTGTTTTGTTTTTAAATGTTAGTCTTAGAGTGTACATCTGTAAATCACCAGAATGTAAGCTTCAGATTATGTTCAAAATTAATTAATCCCGAAAGAAATTTAAACACATTTCATTTATCACTTTTTTTCGCATTAAATAAATTGAAATTAGGGTCATTGTTTACCAGCATGTTCAATGATATGTAACACTGATACAAATACTAAAATAACATGTATCGAATTTTTCTGCCCAAAGGCGATTGAAACAATGGGTGTTGATACCATCTTATAAACATGAATCGGCCGTGTAAACATTAGCAAAACAAAAAAGAAATAAATCACAATTCCCGGTATTTTCATTTTTTTTTTAAATAAATATACATGTACTCTTTTAATAACTTGTTTATTAATTAAAAGCTACCGGAAATTCATTAATTCCCCAATGATTATTCACATAGTTTATGTTACGGGAGAATAGTAGCATAATTTCATTTCATGGTCATTTAATAAATTGTTGGGTTTTATTTGAGGGTTACATGGAATACTCTTTTTTTAGCATGGTCCTTATAAAATGTGTAGCATTTTTAATAAAAAAAAAAAACATCTTATATCTAACTGTAATGATTATTTTTAATTAGTATCAATGTAAATTTTGAGTATTATTAAAATTTAACATTAAATAATTAAAAAGGCCCAAATGTAGCTTTTTTTTCTCATAAACTTGTAATTTATTTTTAGGGATAAAAATTTTCTCATGAATTCCTAATTTATCAACTTTTAAATTATTTTATTTTATTTATTCTAAATACACATTAATTTGTGTAAATATACAGTCCCTGAAAATATCAATTAACTATAATAATCTCTATTTATCAAAAGAATGTAAGAAATCCTTGCTTATTAAACAGTTTAAACTCCTCTCTGCTGCAAGTAAACAAAACAACAGGGAGCCTGCAAATTCAGAATACACAAGGGGGGGGGGAGCTATCATGTCACTCAGAACCTTTTTCACACATGAGTGAACAAAGCAGTCCCAGAAAGCAGTCTCAGGGGAAGCTGGGACTGCTGGGACTGCTTTTCATACCAGTCCCAGAGCAGTCCCATAGCGGTCCCAGAGCAGTCCCACAGCGGTCCCGGGGACTGCTTTCTGGGACTGCTTTGGTGTCAGGTTGGGTCTGGTCGGTACTGAATGCTCGGCACTTACGGCCTTTGAGCAGGGAGGGATCTTTATCGTGCCACACCTGCTGTGACACGGGGCCTCGGTTCATACGGTCTCATCCGAAGGACCGCCCCATTTAGTCGCCTTTTACGACAAACAAGGTGTAATGAGGACCTATTCTAGCCCTGATCCCCACAGGGCGAGATATCATTTGAGAGATATCATTTGAAATATCTTGAAATTCTACACTTCTTTTGTTATACATGCTTTAACAAAATATTTTTAGGTAAAAAGTTATCGTTGAAAAGATGTCACTTTTTTTTTTTAATTCTTGATAGGACTATTTTCGGGCCATAGCGAGCGTCGGCGCTCCGTACTTCCGGTGACATATACTGAAATCACTTTTCCAAAGGTTGCTCTATCATCACTGAAAATTTCATTCTTCTATCATCTACGGTTTTTGAGAACATTACCGGACAAAGTGACACTCTAAAAATGACAAAATCGCAAAAATCTCCGAACCGGAAGTGACGTCATCAAAATTAAAAAAAGTTATTACTAGATATTTTGATGTTCTATTAGACCTCAAAGTTTCATGAAAATCCATGGAGCCGTTTCCGAGAACTCGCGTGCGCAAAATCGGTAAGAAAAAAATAAGAAGAAAAATAGTGGAAAAGAAACCTAAGAAAAACAATAAGGTGTTCCGCTGAAAACGTAAGACTTTAATAATAATAACAATTTATTTAGAAAAGATAACCGGAAAAGTACAAGGTACTATTCTTCCCCGGTGCCTTCTTAATTTCAAACAACATATTGCATAACATGATACATTCAAAGTTAAAACGTAGTTTTATTCTCTTTGGATAATTTACAATGAATAAATGGAAAATAGACATTTAATTTTTATACTCCACCATGACAGATGATCCCGAATATGCTTTCTTTTTAAAGGTTTGCTCTAATCTTTATTTGTATTGCGTAAATGACAATTAGTGTTTGTGATCTCCAAATTTTATTGAGAACTATTTCTTCTTTAGGAAATAAAAAGAATTTAGAATATTTAACTGTAATCCAAGTTTTATTCGCGTGCGAAAAAAGTTTGGCGAGGTTCACAAGAGCTTCTTCATCGCGAATATTTATCGCCGCGAAATGGACCTTTCTGTGTCTTTTAACAACAGGTCCAAAAGTGTTTGAACGCAAAAATTAATCGTCTCTAACAAGTTTACCTGCAGTAATTCGCAAATTGAAGTCGTCGCGATTAAAAGTTGGTTGACAGTTATTCTAAAACAGCTTACAAGGATTATGTATAAGCTTTCGTGAAAGATGTATTTTGAACGCTAGAAGACTTCTAAATAAATAAACAAAGTAAGATTTAAGAAATTAAATTACCTTACCATAAAAAATAGCGGCCAGGACATCTGTAGTTTGGGCCGTAGTTTACTTGGAGATACACTGATTGAAACTTCTAAAGTTAAGGTAGATAACACAGATTAAATAGTGCCAGAAATTATTTTCTTATTGAACAGATTGCAGCAGACTTGTGTAGATTTTTGTTATTAACGTAATGATGTTATACAATTATTCCCAGTAATAACATTCTACGAATCATGACAAAAAATGGTAATGCATATTTATATCCAGATTTCTAAGTATAACAGCTCATAGGAAGTAATGGCTATCTTTGTTTAAATATTGACAACCGCCTTCTTTATTTAGAAACAAATGAACAGATTGAATACATCAGACCCTGAGCAGCTTATGTAATTCCATTATTGTTCTCATTTCGAAAAATGAGCAATATACTAGCTCTGCGATCAGTACCCGCATAATTATTCTTTACAATTTTGTCGTGTTCTATCGTGCGTGTATCCTATCGTATCGTGCGTGTATCCTATCGTATCCTATTGTATCGTGTTTTCTGTTTATCAGGATTTGTATTCGTTTTCTATTGTGTTTTTCGTTTATCGTGTCTTGCGTTTATCGTGTAAATCGTTTATCAGGTTCTATCGTGTATCGTATTTTGCGTTCATCGTGTATATTCGGAAACCCTCGTTTTTATGTTTACTATAGGAAGAAACTACCGAGTCATTCCGAGTTTCTTTTCGTTTTGCTTTATATTTAATGTGATTGTTGACTAAGATGACATATTTCATATTTGCAATAAATAAAACTTTATTAAAGTCTTTTGGTAAATATTGCATCAGCTAACACAGATTTGGCAGGAAGAAAAACCCACGCGGCTGCAATTTGAACATGTTGAATGGGTTGGATTGGTTACAAGAAAATGTGTTTTGCAAATTAAAGGCCTTATGAAGTTTATTTTATAATATTTAAATTTCATTATAGAATATTCCCAATTAGTCCCATGCCTTCATTTGGACGAGCCAGACTGAAAATCAGGTCGTCCTAAATAATTTCTGGATGGAAATAATGAGAAGACGAGCATGAATGCCGAACTCTGTGCTCGTATGTGTTCACCGTCAACATACCTGTACTGCTCTCACACCTGGTGTCAAAAACATGTAGTAAACTTGAATAATACCTGGTTCAAATGAAACTCATCTACTTATTTTGGGGATTTTGAACACCATTCATTAAAGATTTTATTCTAAATAAATTAAATAATTGTTCAATTTATGGCTTTAAAAAATCATTTCCCAAATGCGGATCCAGCGCCGGCGCGCCGGGCGTGCGTCCCCCCCCCCCCCCCCACCCCCATTTGATTTGTTTGAAATTATTAATAAATTAAAATTGATATGTCTATTATCCTAAAATCATGGAAAAACATCTCTTATTTGTAAGAACTTTTCAGCTTCTAGGGGCTCCGCCCCCGGGCACTCAAAAAGGACCTTGCCTTACACCCACCGAGGCTTCTTAATAATCAATATTGATTTATTTTTAAATGTTTGAAAAATCCGCTACCCATATAAAACAAGTATGGTGATATCTTACTATAAATTCAATATTGCTACACAGCTTATTTTAGATGTTAATGTATGCGTAAATTAAAAAAAGACATCTTCCAGTAACAACCAAATTAAACTTAATTCATTCATTCCCAAGATCCCACCTATTAAATGAAAAGAGAGATGTGTTAACTTTATTTCATTAAAAAATATATAGATTTAATCTATTCTTTGTCACCTTGAAACATGCTAAAATACTGTAAACAAACTATTATTCGTGTCATCTTTTATTCGCGATTTATCAGTTTTAAATTATTCCGCGAAGATTTATTTCCGAGAATGAACGAACATTCATTACAAATTCAAAGCAAAATAATTGGTTAGCGGCAATTGATATTCGTGAGTGAAAGGACGTCGAGAAACTCGGGGATATTTCTCGCACGCGAATAAAAGTCGGTTTATAGTAGATTAATTGCTTGTAACTTCTTATCTGAATAACAAAGAAAAACTAGTGCTAATTGTAACGGGAACCGTTACAGATGTTCCCCAAACGCTCCCCAACTCCCTTTTGGTGCCATATTCCCCGTAAGCCTTATTAAATAAGACAACATCTGTGCATTTTGACTTTAGTTTAAAATATATTTTATTCATATAAAGAAATGGATTGAACAGCAGGCATAAATGCCTATGATCGTTCTCTCCATAGGCATTTTGACTTTAACAATGTTATCCCAAAAGGATACCAATTATATTCAAATTTTAACATTGCACTTGCATAATAATCATATAATCTTGTCTACATTTTCTATATATTAAAATATACTTTATATGAAAGCATTTAGTCCAAAAGTATTAAAAATCACTCATTCAAGTGTATTTTCAATTTCACTTGCACGTGCATAATGATCATACCTTCTTGTTGGAGGCCCTTATATCTATCTATGTTCTAAATCCCATCTTGGTTGGTTGAAAACCAAGGGAATTATAGCCATTTCAAGTTTCAGCCAATCAGATTGCAGCACACGTGCATCCACGTGATTTCAATATTTTTTTCTAAATCATATCGTAGAATATCCTAATGCATAACTATGTTTTAAATTTCAAAGCAAGTCGTCAAAAATCAAAGGAGATATGGCCATTTAAAGTTTCAGCCAATCAGATTGCAGCACACTTGCATGCGCCTGATTTCTTGAAATTTTTTGTATATCATATTGCAGGATATCCTAATGCATGACTATGTTTTAAATTTCAAAGCATTTCGTCAAAAAATGAAGGAGATATAGCCATTTAAAGTTTCAGCCAATCAGATTGCAGCGCACGAGCATGCGCGTGATTTCATAAAAATCTTTTCCATATTATATTGTAGGATATCCTAATTCATGACAATGTTAAACATTTCAAAGCATTTCATCGGACAACAAAAGAGATATTGAGATTTTTGTTTCAACCAATCAGAGGAAGGCGCACCGTGCATGCGCGTGAGTTCATGCTAATTTGACGGTGTCATATTATTAACACTTTTAATATATCCTTATGTAATGAGTTTCAAAGTATTTCATCAAAAAATGTAAAAGATATAGCTATATTAAGTATATCAGTCAATTCACTCATTTCACGCGCACGCACGTGCTGGCGTATGCGCGCAAAATGACCTTTGTTCCGCACAACTACACTACACACCCATTAACCCTAAAAAGGTTTTAACTTAGTTTGGTGAACAGTTTCTGAGAACACTTCCGGACAAAAAAGTACCGGAGAAGAAATAAGAAGAAACTAGAGCAAAGCTCGTTGCAAAGCAACGAGTGGGTCTTCCTTCCTAGCAATAAGCAAAAGATTCAATGTTTCTGTCTAGATTGTCAACTTTGCTAACATTCTCTTTTTCGATTTGTCTCAAAAACCCTTACTTGAATTCTTTAATTTGGTGTGAGCATGAGGTCTAAAGGGTACTCTCTCTAACAGCATTCTTGAAATCCTATCCACAACAGTTTAACTTCCAATATTATGACTTTTGATATCGGATATATCATGTTTGTTGCAATTATGTTTGTGAAACGTGTCATACTACAGAAACATAAGTGTTTTGCTACATTACCATCTTAAAAATGGCTTTAAAATCATTTAATATACAATATAACTAGGTAAATAAAATAAACAAATTATATAATAATTCTAAAAATCCAAATGTATTTACAATAATGATGAACAATCTTCATTAGTTGCAATCAGTAAGTAGAACAATACTTTTATAATAAACGCACAGAAATGTGTTGTGTATGTTTCGAATTTGAAGCTTTCCACTAGCAACTGGTGGTACCTCAATAGGAGTGTAAAATTCTCTGAAAGGTATATTATGAACATATTACATATGGCTGTGTATTCTTTTTTAGCGGCTTTGGCGGAACGCAGCAATCACTAAATCAAGTACAAAGCTAAAAGTCTTGTACATAAACATAAATAAGAATATCTACGCTAACTTATTCAAAAGTCAATTTCCACCAAATATTGTACAAGCTAAATATAATACATTTACTGCATTAAAGAAACAAATCTCTTTGAAGGTATTGCCCTGCATAAGAACAATTTGAATCCCCTACACTAAGGATGCTCTGTGCCAAGTTTCACTTTGGTTCTGGAAAATGATATTGTGAAATTTTAGACAATGATGATAATGGATAAAATTATGTTTTTAAAAAATTTACTGGTTCCTTTAGCTCAGATGGGCTAATAAGTATGCAACAGGCACAGTTTTGGAGTTGACATTGAAATGCGACTGGACATCTCTTCAATCTTGTTTTAGAAAACTACATGTACATGCCCGATGTACTGAATTCCTTGGAATCATACACATGTTTATGCCTTTAATTAGTTGTATGTGCCAAAATAACAATTTTTTTTACATTATACTGTAAAAAATACACATACATGTATTACAAGATCTTCTAAACTTTGAAAGGGAAGACCTTAATAAAGAGGTCAACATGCTACACAAACAAAATATTATTATATTTAAAAATAACATTTATTCCAATGTAATTACTGGTACATGTATTTCTGTTACAAAAACTATTTCACTTGAAAAACTGAGAGCAATTGATATGTTCATATTTGTGGATTTATGTTGTCAAATCAAAATTTAAAAATGATACACAGTGTGTTTAAAAATTGTCTTCACAAACCAAAACTTGACTTATTTTCACTATGCTGTTTATTCCATGTCACATCCAAACAGATGATCTTCTGGCAAATCATGGTCATGCTTGGTATCAAAATTCAGTATTCAGATGAGTCACACCTATCCAAAAGAAATTGAAATTTTTTAATTTATAATTCTTTTACTAATAAAAAGTGCAATGCATGAGATTATAAATTAGATTATCAAATTGAGAGATAAGATATTGTCACATTTTCTGTGTATAATTTGTAAATTTTAATGTACTATTTCATCAATTAAAAGAAGTTTACACCAATTAAGGCAGTCATTTATGCTATCCCCTAATAAGACAGCATACAAGTGCAAAGTAATCATGCACTAGTGGGTTTAGGATAATGTGCTAGAGTATTTATGACAACATACTAGCACGAGGTGACAATGTG